GACATATTGTTCATCAAAATCGGTCCAGCGAGAGCTAAGATTGAGCGTTCACAGACACAAAAAAAAAAATAAATAAAAAAAAAACACATCATAGTAAAATTAATACCTTCTCAGCTTCGCATCCAAGCTAAAAGTAGTATTCCTAATAAATCACATTGACTAGGTTAAATTTTTGATTAAATCTTCTCAAACAAAAACTAATGTACAATAAATTGATATAAATATACATAAAATTAACATATTTTATATATTTTTACTGTGATACATGATCTCTACGATTCTTCAAGTAAAATGAAAACCACATACAGTCATATTATAAGAAAATTATTACAATAGTTAATACATGACTAATTTATATTTTAACATGGAAAATTCTTCAATTTGACAATAGTGAATACATTAACACAATTAGAATTTTAATTCAATTTAACAATATTAATACATTTTGAATGTTAGTTACAATAAAAAAATATTTATTAATGTTAGTATTCTAAATTAAAAATTAAAAAATTTATACTAAAACAATATAGAAGAGGAATAATTAATGTTATAAAATACACAGTAATGTAACAACATACAGCATATCAAATTTTAACACATGTAGTTATGTTTGGTTAATCAAAAATATTTTACATGATAATAATCGATAAAAATTCAAAACAATATTAATCAAGGAAATAGATGATTACACAAAAGTTTACATTAAATAAATATAATAAACTGACAAAAGCAAGAGTCACTACTCTATTAATTGGATACAATAAATTATTAAAAAATCAATTAATTTTTAAGAATATATTATTAATTAAGAATAAAATTTCACTATGATATTGTATGTTATTTAATATGTTTTGTTTAAATTTAATATAAAATTTACTACGTAAATTACTTTTGTAAACGATATACCTTTTAAAATTGAAAAATTCCATTTATAGTAGGTACTTTAATACATAGTTACCTTATAATTTGTCAAGAAAAAAATATTTATTACTAACCGATTTTATAAAAGCATGTATACAAATATTGCTTTGTATTTAAAAAAAAAGTATTTAAGCTTTTTTCACTCACTTTCAATATTTTCCTTTATTAATTTTTTAGTATAAGAGAGGCTGTTATATGCTCTATGCTCAACTTACATATTTTTGTTAACAATTAAAAATCACGTTTTGAGAAATAATGTTCCAAGATTTAAAAATTAAAAAAATATGATTATATTTAATCACCATGACAATAATACTTTTGGACAGTAGTCAAAGGATAACGATTCATATGATTTTCTCATTTGATTTAAAAATATAGTAACGTTAATATCTAATTATTATCACCATGGTCATATTAACATAAGATTATGTTTGATACAACACTTTAAATATCAGTCTTTTGATGTTCACAAATCGGATAACAAAGTTACATCCGTGGTGCTTAAGATATAACAAAAACTTTAGCAAAATTTACAAAAATAAGAATGAAACTACATAAAAAAAGGATACATATAGTTAATAATAATGACTAACATTAGTAAGACATTTATGTCTAACAATTGAAAATAATATTTACAAAAAAGCTCAAATTTAATTTATTTAATTGAGTTGATAATTTGACTCTTAACTACATGTTTGATCCGTGAAAATTGCTAAAATAGTTTAAAAATTGTAATTATATTAAAAAATATATAAAATATAATGGTACTAAAATCATAATATTGAATAAGTACCTAGTACATATTGTATAAAATAGCAAAAAGTACTATTTATATAATATATAGCATAACATTACATTAAAAAATAATAACATTATTTTTACAACAAAATAAATTTTTAAACAGTTTATAAGCCGATCAAAATTAAACTGATTTCAACTACATTTGGTCCCCAAAATTTCAGTGTGCAATGTTTTATTATACATTTGTAATTTTTATTAGTTTAGAGTTTTGTTTTATTATTTTTAGCTGGATGATAAAAAAATCATAATAAAAAAATTATCAATAATTTTTTAAACGCTTCTTTACAATAAATTTTATAATAAATGAAATTGTAGGATTTCTAATGTATACAACTAACTACATTTTTGAAGAAAGTTAATGTATGAAATTTTTACTCCTAAACACACAATTTTTAATTAAAAAATTTAACATCTATATAAAAAGAATTTTTAAGAAATGTAGCAGAAGTGAGTATTTTAAACATATACAAGTTGAATTTTTCTATTTTTGACCACTTAATTTATTGAAAAATATACAGTGGTTCATAATGTTTTAAAAATCTAACAACTTTTGATCCATTGAATATTTTGTGTTACTTAATAAATAATTAAAATTTTTTCTTTTTTTATGTTTTATTAGCACATTAAAGATTGTAGTAATCTTTTCAAAAGAGGAGGTTTCTTAAACATTGATAATTTGTGATGGGTGGTTAATTTGTTGTCATAGAGAGGGATGATGACTTCAATTACAAAACTGAACCCATGACCAAGTTTCAAACACGATGCACTATGCATCAAGTACTCTCGGATTAGTGACTAAGCAACACTGTCCCTCTCTAAATAAAAATAATTTATAATAATAACAAAAAATAATAATTGAAGCATTTGAGACTACATTAAAATTAGAGATGTTCCATGAAGTAAATTTATGTACTAACCAAGTACTAGAAAAAACCATGTTCATACTGCTAAATTGTCAGAATTAATAAAATAAAAAGGCCTAAAATATTATTTTATTTATAATATTTCCTCTTTATTTAAGTTAAAACCAAATATAGGCATAGGATGGGAAGATTTAATCTCCATATTAATAATTTAAAAAATCATGTGTATTTTGTAAATTTTGAATACTATTTTCATTTTTTTTTTTTATTAAGTGGTCAATAATTAAATAATCACTCTGTATTATGGATAAAAGTTTATTGGTGAGAAGAGGGAATAATAATGGTATACTACACCGAAGATGTAAGTGTACTTTTATAATATTTTAGGAGTACACCATTTAAACATTTTTATTGTCGTAAGATGTATGTTTAGTGTTGGTTTTTTTACAAAGAACTTGGTTTTTTTTTACATTTATTTGATTATTTAACTCATTTTAGCTATAAATAGCATTTCTTTCTTTAGTATCCTAAATTATTGATATCATACTTGCTATGATTTTTTAATCACTAAAAATAATGTTATAATAGTATACTTGTGTGCATCACTCTTATTTTCCAATATAAAATTATTTGATTTCCATTAGTTATATTAATAATTAATTATCATTAAAAATAATTAATAAAAATCTTGAATTTAGTAATTGGCAACTTACATAGAAAATTAATTTTCTATTATAGATGGTTTTGATTACATGACAAATTGTCTGAATCTTGAGATGCAGTTTTAGATATACCCTTTCCTATAATAAAATTAAAAATATATTAATAATTAAATAATAAAATAAATATTTTTAAATGAATACAATAAACATAATATTTATTTTTTGTTAAAAAAACAATAAAATAAATTAATACCTATTTTAGCAGCATTATCAATTTGTTCCTCAAATGAATAATTTCCATTCAAAATTGGTACCCTAACAGGTATAATACTGGAATGAACATAAATTCAACTTAGATGTTATGTTTAAAAAATATAACTGAATTATATTTATGATTGACTTGTGATAACTCACCCACTAGCCTTACTATCATCGGTCTCTTCTTTATTTAATATAGACATTTTTGATTCTTTTAAAGATTCTGAAGTCAGAATCTTTTCACTGAATAAAAAAATATTATCTTTGTAAATATAAATGTTATCAATTTGAATAAAATACAAGATAAATTTTGTGGCTTGGTACAAGAAGGTTCAATTCAAAAACAGAAAATATTTGTATTAAATTTCAAATAACTAGAGGTATCATTCAACTGTGTCAGTATGCATAGGTTCAGTTTTTTAAAAAAAATAAAGTAAGTCTTTATTTTTTAAGAAACTGTAGTAAATAGCTGAATAATGTCGATTTTAGTATGGTATGGGGTTTAAGACAGTAGTAAGCAATTTTTAAATCCTCAAGCAATATAATAATGTCATATATAAGGGAAATGCAAGGTAAGCAAATTAATAATGGTGGGAAAAAGAATATAAAAGGGGAACATGAAAAAGATGTAGATTGGACGAGACTGGACGTTTTGTCGAAGAAACGTAGAGTTATGGGTTAGGTTGTTGGTGTGCGAGTAACTTTGTTTTTGTACGACTTAATTAATTTTGTGTTATATTTTTATATTATATTTTGACTCAGTGTTTTTACGTTATATAAATAAAATAATTATTTAAAAATCTGTACTCGAGAGTAAATACTTTAAAAACCATTGTGTTATTAAAATTTGTGTGTGTGCGTCAAGAGTCGAGACTGGACTACTGGTTCTTTAGTCAATCATAACAATTAGTGTACATGCTGGCTAGTTTTTGGGCTTAACCGTCCTATAGTAGATATAGTGAAAAGGTAGTTAAGCTGGTGGCTGACAAGGAGCCACCCCTCAGTCTGCTACTTTTGAGCTAGATTGAGCTGACGGGTCTAAACTCTACTCCTTTAGTAGTTTATAAATTGGAGGGATTGGGGCTGACCAGCGTAACCGAAGGGAGGACTCGAGATAAGCTAAAAACGACAAACTCGTTGCCTGAAAACGTTATTTAATTTGTGCATTACTTTTTGTGTCTATGTTTACTACCAACGTACGACAAAACTAATACAGTTTTTCTGTAATTTATTTAAAAAAAAAAAAAAGAGGATAGAAAAAAGTTTTTAGCTTAATAAGTAGTTTTAAATTACAGTTAGTGTATATTATTATAGATATGATAATTCTATATCCTCTAAATTTGTTCTATACCATAAAATACACTTTATGTAGATTGAAGATAACAAAAATACTTAGGTCATTTAATTTTAGGTTCAATATCATAAAAAGAAAATCTACTTTTTTCTTTAACATCATATATTTAAAAACTTAGTTTTTCAAGAATAATTTTTAAATTGAAAATAGATTGAAGTATATTAAAAATAAATAGTTTAATTTGATCCTAATCAGTCAAATTTTGAATTTTAGGTATAATGATTTTACTGGAATATACTTTTTTTAAAGAGTTTTATTCTGATAACAAAGAATTGTTATATTTTTAGCAGATAATACAATTGTATTAGTTTCAAAACTCAAAATAATTATTTTACAATTATACTACTTTTTTATTATAACCAAGATTTAAATCTTAATTAATTTTTTATAAATGGATACAATTCACTAAAATAAATCAGTTTATTACCAATTTAAAAAATTCAAATTTGAAGTTAAAACAAAATATATATGTTAATGATATTTGACTAAAAAATTAATGGTTTAAGTCCATTTTTATTTTTATTTTTTGATAGTTCTAGTCAATTTACTTTTAAGCCTATTAAGTAAAAAATTTTTTTAACCTTAAATGTTCACATAGTGTTTATTTTTAGGTGTATAACAATGTTAATAAGTATCAAAATAACATTTCAAAGATTTTGTGTCACTCTAGTGAATATAAAAACATTTAATATAATTGTTAATAAAAGCATATTGTGATATTAAATACATTTTTTTAAAAATTAAAAAAAATAACTACATATTTTAACTCAATAATAATTTTATGAAATTACAAAATCATTTGCTAGGTACTCTTAAGTTCATGTAGTATAATTAATTTTATTATTATATAATAATAAGTATACACAAATATTTACCTTGAAGTTGGATTTTTTGTGTCAATACTACGATTTTTTAAAGAAGATTTTTTCAAATAATTATCTTTTTTAACTAAATTATGAACCAATTTTTTTTTTGAATTCTAAACAAAATATTTAAGTAAATAATAACAAAAAAAAATGATTTTACATCATAAAAATATTGATAAATATATTTTTACCTGAGTTTTTACATTTGTACTACGTCCTTTTATAGTTTTGGAATAATGGCGTGTACTATAAACTAGCCTTGATGAGAGATCACGTTGATATAAAGAACTTGGTCCTCCTATAGGTGGCATCATCTAAATTAAAAATAATTATTATGGGTCATTTAATACAAAATATTTATTTAATGACTATTACATGTTGTGATGGCAAAATAGTATTTCTGCCCATATACGGATTTCCTGTAGCAGTCATGTTATAATTTGCACCCCAAATACCAACTACAGCTCCAGCAACTTCCAACTGACCACCTGAAGATTGTTTTACTATAGCTCTTTGCCTAGTATTTTGAACTTCTTGAAAGCGACTTGAATTTTGATTAATCAATCTGTTTTGTCTACTTGGATGTGAATATGATGGTATTCCTTGAGCAATATTACTTCCTATCATTTGAGGTGGAATTGGCACTGTTCCTCTTTTACTTAAAATAGTGTCTTAAAATACATTTTATTACACATTTAATACTTTTTTGTTATTAATTTAATCCAAATTTAATTTTTGGGCAAAACCCTGTATTGTATATACATGATCTTTATATTATGTATAAAAACACAAAATTTTGGGGTTGAACCAAACCTGAACCAAAATTTTAATTTTAAAATCAATTCTCGAATCAAAATTCTTTTTTTTTAGACCAACTTCAATCAAACCAAACATCAAATTTAAACAGTTTAAAGTAAAATATTCTTCATATTATTATTAAAAAAATTCATTATTATATTTGATTATAATAGTTTTTGATTTTCAATGCTTTTTACAAGGAAAAAGTTTGCTTCAATATTTTTAAATTATAAGACTTTTAATTGAAACAAAAACCCCAAGTTTGGTTCAAACAGTGTTGTATAAACGCGTATAACATATTTTATTATTATTTATCATTTTCAAGGTTTTCCAGATTTGTGATAACAATAATTTGATATTAGAAGTCATTTTATAATTTTATAATCCTATATCAAACGTGAAAAGTTTGTTAATTTGGGGCTATGTTGGCTACATTTAGAACTGTCTCTGTATATTACTAATGATAAACAATAATAAGTGTTACTTAATTATTTAAAAATATTAAATTAAATCAATCATATAAATGGAATTTATGCTTTTCCCATACCTATAAAAGATCCTTGATATTGTGGTACTAACTGAAAACGTTCACCGAGACCATGTAGAATAGCTTGACGCATTTTTTCAACTTTAATCACTAAAGAAAACTGATTTTCACATAAATCTTCAAGTTTGCTTGCTGTTTGGGCTCTAGCTAAATGATACTGAAATAGTCTACCATCAAAATACATCCATGGACAAGACATAAGCCACGGAACAGGAGCACCACAAGCATCATTTACTAACATAGCTGTTTCAACACCACTCATTAAAAGTGTTGCCAATTGTACACCTCTTACACTAACAGTTCCCTAAAATTATAGAAAAATGAATAAAATATTGATAGCAAAAAATACACAAATATTTAAATTTATCTTAAGGGGCATTTAATAATAAATCTATTTTCAAAATATAAAAACATAAATTTACACTATACTTAAAATATTAGTATATAAAATTAAAATTAAAAATAAAATTATAGAATTACAGTATCTACAATCATTTAATTTAAATTTAATATACACCTATTTTAATACTTAAACACAAGTTTTAATAAGGTGTTTTTTTAGTGTGTAATTAAATTATTGCACAATAGAATTAGAGAAACTTGGATTACTACCTCAAGGCTACTAATATTACATTATCACAAAATTCTATTTGAAAATATCCTGACAGAAACTTATCTTAATATGAAAAATATACAGTAAATAGTCTTTAGAAGATAAGTAGTAAAAACTCAATCATCATCAAAATACACGTTATTTACCAATAAATATATCACTCACTATGTACAATAAATGAAAATTTTTAAAATTTTTATGTTTCAAGAAGACAATTTAAAAGTAGAAATATAGTAACTATAAGAAATATTCAGGTTATATCTAAATGTTTTGATATTTACTTGAAGTTCTTGAGTGTTTTCATTTTTTGATAATTCTGGTGCAACAGCAGTAATTATGAAGGCATCTAGTTCATACTTTTGAAGGATTGGTACTTCCGAGTTTGACATAATATACCGTAACACAGAAGCAATTATTAATGTATGCTGAGGTACATAATCAGTATTATACATAAGTGGTGTATCTGAGCGCATACATGTTAAAAATGCTCTTAAACGTCTGATATTATCTTCTGGAGTTGTTCTGTAAAATATAAAACTTAGACAGTTATGTTTAAATGTTCACAATTATATTATAGTATGTAATATATGAGGTATGTTCAGAAAAAAAATAGGAATATTTAAATTTCATAGGTTTGGAGAGTGATTATCAAAATTTTTTATTCCATAATGTTGGTATACATGTCCCTGAGGTATGATAAAATTTTCAGCTGGATTCACTTTTTACTTTGTCAGTGGCAGCCGTTAAGATTAGATGTCTTATTATGAAAATGGACGATTTTCGTTTGTTAAAAAAAAATGGATCAAAGGATTTGTATAAAATTTTGCGTAAAAAATGAAATTAAGTGTAACAAAGTATGTGAAATGTTAACAAAGGCCTATGGTGAGTCTGTTATGAGTAAAACAAGGGTTTACGAGTGGTAGAAGCGTTTCCAAGATGGCCCAAAATGCCCTAACACATCAACAACTGATGAAAATGTGGAAAAAGTAAAAAGAAATGGTTATGAACGATCGCCGAATCACAATCAGAGAAGTGGCTGATGATGTTGGAATATCAATTGGCTCATATAATGAAATTTTTTCAGAAGATTTAGGTATGAAACGTATAACAGCAAAATTTGTTACAAAATTGTTGAACTTAATGAAGTCAAAGATGATGCAGAATTACTGAAATGTATTATAACAGGTGACAAAACATGGGTTTATGTATACAACGTCGAAACTAAGGCTCAATCGTTCCAGTAGAGGCATTACGGATTGCCAAGACCAAAAAAAGCTCAACGAGTGCGATTGAACGTAAAGGTTATGCTTATTGTATTCTTCGATTTTAAAGGCATAGTGCATCATGAATTCTTGCCAAGAAGTCCAAAGGTCAATAAAGAGTACTACCAACAACTTCAACTCACTTTGCGTGAAGCAATCCGAAGAAAACGCCCGGATTAGTGGCAAAAGAATACATGGCTTTTACACGACGATAATGAACCTACTTACACTTCATTGCTTGTTCATGAATTTTTGGCCAAAAATAATACTGAAACGATGCCTCAGCTTCCATATTTGCCAGACATGGTTCCGTGTGACTTTTTTCCATTTCCGAAAATAGAGAGAACCATAATGGGACGTCATCTTAACAGCATAAATGACATTAAAAGCACATTATTGAATGTGCTTAAGCCTATCCCAAATATCAAGTTTGAGAAGTGTTTTGAGGATTGGAAGAAGCATTGGCATAAGTGCAAAATATCTAATGGAAATTTTTTTGAAGGCGACAACATTAATGTAGATGAATAAATAAATATTTTTTCCCGTTATTTTCTGAACACACCTCAAATAGGTGTTACAATAAGAATTATATTTAACAGTAGACCATTTTTATTGTTATTTATGCACTACCTAAAGGCTGAAGAAGTCTTTTCAATTAGATTTTATAATAAATTTAATTTATTCATATTTTCAGAATTGTTTTGTGAAAAATATTGACATTTCTTTATCAAAATTTTATAAAATTAATTTTTATTTAATAATATTGATAATATATATTACTGAACAGGTTTTATTTTTGGACAGAACCATAATTACACAGTAAATTATAAAAAATAAAATAGCATATAAAGTAATACATTATTTTCTAAACACAAATGAGAGATGGGAACTTAAATGGATGTTTTAAATTATCTAAGCTATTTCCATTAATTTTTATGGTTAAGTTAGAAAACCACACTTTTTAACAAAAACTTTTTTTTATATATGTAAAGAGGTATGATGCTTTTTATCTGATACAGAACAATTCTAAATAATATTTTCATTTAATAGTTAATATATTTACTTACCCAAACCAAAGTCGATGAACAGTTGGAACACCCCATCCTAAAGGTTCAGCATTTACTAAATTATAATGCTTATAAATGTTAGCTTTGTCTCTAATCCACTCACGCACTTGAATAACAGGTGTATCAGCTAAAAATATAATAAACATTATATTAAAATAGCTTATAGTAAGTTAAATTTTCATATGCAGTGTGACACTGTACCATATTTCCCTCAGTTGCACATCACGTTATCAACCTAAATGGAAATATATAGAGATCTGAATTGTAACTAGACGGTGGCTAGTGGTAAAGTTTATCTATATAACAACTTGGATTGTGGCTTCTAATCCTATACAGTGCTTTTTTTAAAATTATTTTAGTACACTTCAGATGATTGACCGTCAATCTCTGGTGGCCATGTCAAGCTTACATACAATATGGGTAGAGAATGTGTATAATAAAGGTTTTATTTATATAGGCCATTTTGGTATTATAATTATTAATCATTATCATTTTATGAACAAACGGTATAAGCTAAACTTTAGTAAACTAGAGACTCTAGTAAGCTATACTATAGTATTGGTCAAATGAGAGGAGATTAGGAAGACCTTCCATTAACATTTTTTTTTATTATTATATAAAGTGTTCAGTAAATAAGGCAACAGATATTTTTTTTTCACATTGTTTGTAATAATTGAACTGTTTTCTTACTTACTAAATACCTGTATTTATTTTATACTTTGGAAACTTAATATATGATAATCTAATTTAAGTTACTGAGCATAATTAACATGTAAAAATTAGTAGCCCTACAAATTTGGACACATTAAATTTTATGTTTGAAATGTTATTTATTTTTAGGTTAATTCAATGGGATACTATTCTAAAATCAAATAAATATTTGAAATAGGTTTAATAAGAAATAAGCTATTTATACACATCCAGTAGTTCATATAAACATTTTGATATAGTTATACAAATAAAAAAGCTTTGTGTATGGGCACAGCTACTATGATGATTTTTATCATAAAGGTTTTTCATATCATACCATAGAAAAATCATTTGATAGCCATTATATGATACACACACACATAATTTTTTTTTAAACATAATTCTAAATAAGTAAGGCTAGTTGTGTTATATTAAAATATATAATTAGTTTAAAAACATATTTCTCAGGGAATCATAGAAAAGGTATAATTTAAATATTATTTTGTCTAAAGTTTTCTCTTTATTCTTTATACCCATAATAGTTTTATTACATAATTAGGATGGAATTAAAGTTTTTACCATCCTTAAGCTAATTGTTATCTATAATGGTATTTGATTAAAATACTATGTTATCTCTTATCTGCATATATTGACAAATAAATCATAAGTACACAGTAGCCTGATGATTAGATTCATTGATACAATATCTTAAAAGTATATTATAATTGAAATTATAAAATAATAAATTTGATCTAGAAGATCTATAGTTTTTTAGCCACAACAAAAACATAAAAAATAATTTTAACATCCTGTTCGACTATGTTACTTAATTAAAAAAAATAAGTAAAAAATATTAATATGTAAATATACATAGTGTATTTAGCCTTAAAAAACATCACTGGCTATTTAATATTAATGTTTTATACAAAAAAAAAGTAAAAGTATACCTTTCTGAACAGTACTTGTATTTTTAGCTAAATAATGAGCATGATGAAGATTGAATAAAATTCCATAAACCATTTGTCGTGCTTGCCTATAGAATATATGAGCACTTGGTATTTCGTGATTTAAATCATCTTCTAATATAACAGGTAATTTTATTTCAGCCTAAAAAAAATTTATATATAAATAATATCATCAGAATTTTTTAAGTCAACAATGTAGTATAAAGAGAAAACTCTTTATACTACATTAATAGCTAAAAAAAATGTAATGAAGATTTTTCTACTGTATATGGTTAAATTAACAATAAAGCTAGAGTTATTGACTCTACCAAATAGTTAAAAGTATTGTTACAATATATATTATACCACTAAAATTTCTATATCCAAAAATAAAAATTTTTAATTTAATTTTCTATAGTTAAAAATTTATAGATTATTTGATTTTGAAGCATTTATAAAACTAATATTCAACTTATTAAATTTAGATAGCTAACAGATCATTGATACATACTTTGGTTAAAATGTGATACACATATGTAGACATTAAGCCTGTTGTGTGTCTATCATAAGCGGTTTTTAATACATCAGTAGCTACATTAGGTACATTGATTTCAACTTTATTGTTCGAAAATTTATCTGACAATACAGGTTGATTAATTAAACAATATGAATTAGAAGCAGACATTGAGTCTTCCAATATTACTAAATTTTCCATCTAAATAAAAAAGTATTTATTTATTTTTTAAAAATATAATTTCAATATGGACAATAAATAATAATAGTAAATTGATAAAACAATATTAAAAATATATTTAAAATATTAAAATGTTTAGTGTTGGCATATTCTTTATTTTAAAATTTGTTGCCTTTTCAAAAATTTTACTTAAATAAACACCTGTGGACTGATCCTGTGATGGACAAGGGAACAATTGCCTATAGTTTGTAGAGCGATGAGGGCCTTTATGATTAGCATAATCTGGTTTGTCAAGTTAGTTTTTTTTTTAAATATTTTTTGAGGCTTTAAATGTTTTGTGAGTTTAATATTTTTTAGTTTTAATTATCATTACTGTAATGAAAAAAAGTGTGCGTCACTGTTAAACATTCTATAATGAGTATGGTCACCCATCTGAAAATTAACAACAAAACTCTCATGTATGAAATGTTAACATTTTTAACTTAACTTTGACACGGATAAATTCTAATGTCTTTAAATAGTGAGTATAGGAATACACAAACACGTAAAATTAAGTTTAAAACGTATTACAACGGCACTAGCCGGTATGACAGTTATTATTACACAACAGAAAGGTAACACTATAAATATATATAAAAAAAAGTTTATTTTCAACTAGATACTTTAAGAGGAGCTGAATAAACTTAAACAGGAAATCTTTGGTCAAAGACGAAAAAACAAATTGGAACGTATAAATGCATGTAAGACGTTAGAAACAACTTTAATTAGATTGGGTTTGCATTGTAATAAGGTGGCAGATGAAGGAGACCAGGTGACCGTGTATTAAACATATTGCAAAATATACAGTACCATGTAAACTTTTTAAAATGTTCATTTTCTTAATTAGATCATTTTTATTTTATTATCTGGTTAAATATGTATATTGCCATTAAAAAATACATGTATGGATGACACTTTCATAAGGTTCATAAATTATAATAAAATTTAATAATTAATAAATCAAGAAATATATAAACTTAAAAAATACCAAAAAGAATTTCATTAATATAATTATTATTTTAATAGTAATTGAATGGATAATATTAACAGAATCATTCTGTATACAGCAGTTTTATAACTTTTAAAAATCTCCCCCAAAAAACAACAATACTAAATTATTCAATTTAAATTTTATACTAAATTTGATTAATATAATAAGTATTTATTAATGTATTATACTTATAAAACATAAAACTTTTAATTAAGACATAAATGGGGAAATAGTTTATGTTATTTTTGAAATACTCTACCAATTTCTTAAAAGCAAATAATAAAAAAAAAACCCAGCACAGAGGTAACGTGGCATAGTTGGATCAAGTATAATGATATCTGACAGTGATTAAAATCACTATAAAAAAAAAAACGCTTCGATGCAAATCTTTAGATAGTGTTTAATTTTAAAAAATTGGTGGATTATTCCAAAAGCTAGATGATCTGCTAGTTCATTATTAATATCCTAATTAAGATAAAGTATGTCAAATGAAAAAGAGATTATTAAAAAATATTATTTCTCATAAAAAAATAATGTTGATCCATACACTTTACAATGTCATAGCATTATAAAATTAAAAATGTATAATACAAAATCGAAAATTTTCACACAAAAATAGCATTTGATAGCCATTTTTAGCGTGAAGACAAAATAAAGTCCAAAATTTTTTTTTCCACAATAAAGTACATTTCATTAGTTTTAATTTAAGATATATATAAAAGTGTCAGACTTTCTAAACACTTTCAAAAGTTAAGTTGAAAAAGTAAATTTTTTGTAAAAAAGTTGTCATTTTGAATCCCCCCTTTGGGTAGGTAAAAAGTCAGATTTATAAAAAAATTATACCAAATGNTGAAATTTTTTTTTTCCCTTATAGAGTATATTACATTAGCTTTAATTTAAGATATATATAAAAGTGTCAGAGATATCATAAGTTAATTTTTTGTAAAAAAGTTGTCATTTTGAATCCCCCCTTTGGGTAGGTAAAAAGTCAGATTTATAAAAAAATTATACCAAATGATAGTTAAAGACATCATGCATCCATAAAAAAAGAATTATATTGATCCATACATCTTTCAAAAAGTTATAGCATTATAAAGTTAAAAATATAAAAAAGAATTTTTTTACAAAAATCGTATTTTTTTTATCCACTTTGATGTCTGTTTTACCATGAAGATAAAATAAAGTCCGAAATTTTTTTTTACCATAATAAAGTATATTACATTAGCTTTAATTTAAGATATATATAAAAGTGTCAGACCTTCCGGAACATTTTCAAAAAACAAGTTTAAAAAATTAATTTTTTGTGAAAAAGTTGTCATTTTAAATCCCCCTCTGTGGGCAAGTAAAGGGTCACATATAAAAAAATAATTATATTGATTTGGTTATTTTTAAAAAAGTTATAGCAATTTTAAGTAAAAAAAATTGAAAATTTTTCGAAAATTAGCGATTTTTAAATTTGTAATTTTTTGGAGGTTTCCCCTATTTACGGTGAACGAGGGAATTTTTTTTCAATTTTTGAGGGTAATTTATTCGACTAGATACGATTTGTGATCTTTTGACGTATCATTGAAAGAAATCGGTTCGGTGATAGCTGAGAAAAAGTGGTAACAGACACAAAAAAAAAACTAACACATCTTAGTAAAACCAATACCTTCTCAGCTTCGCATCGANAAAAAAAAAAAAAAAACACATCATAGTAAAATAATACCTTCTCAGCTTCGCATCGAAGCTAAAAGTAATCTAATAATACAAAATTTACCTTGAAATGATTGTTAGATCAAAAGTTAAGAGTTGTTAGTAAGATCTATTCTACTAGCATACATTTTTTATATAAATCTAATATTTATTGAGTTTTAGGTATTCAAATTTTTGGGATATTTTATTCTTTCAAAATATTTGGATAACAAGTATAACGAAAAAATGTCCTAATATAAGGTATAACATTGTTGAATGGAAGAATGAATTATCTTAATAGTTTACCTGAGTGTTTAGACTTTCAGATCCTAATTTTTTTGATTCTGTTATATTAATAGGTTCTTCATTAGTTTTGTTTTTAAAATTTTTTATTTTTTCTAGTGTCACAATCTTGGATTTAGCTGAATTTTCTATAATTGCATTTAAGTAATACTGCATACTCTTAGCCAATTTTGGAACACGTTTATCATCTTTATGGCCAAGTATATGAGTAGCTACTTCAACAAAATTGTTTTTAATTGGTGGTAAATCTTGTAGAGAGTCAACAATTTTTTTTACAATTTCTTCGCCAATTACCTATTTATTAAAAACAATGTATTTAACAAAAAAAAAAAAAAATCAATTAAAATATATTAAATAAGATAGATACAAAATATTTTGATTAACTATATCATTAAGAATTATCTCAATACGTAACACATACCATGTTGTGTACATAGAATTTTATTAAATATAATTAATATTTTCAAATCCTAAATTGAATTTAATGATTTTTTTACTAAAAACTTTTACTTTATAACATTCAAATAAAAGTATGCCTCATCTTAATATATTTATAAAATTGAAAAATAATTTTATACTTGATAAAATTTGTTGAAAATTTACTAATATAAAAAAAAAAACAGGATGAAGAAATTTACAGTAAAATAAAACATTTAAATTATTTTTATTTTTAAATATAGTTATTCATATTTTTTCATAGAATTAAAAAAAATACATTATTGAGAGGAAATTAATGTTAAAATAATCAGAACCTGCACGATTTTGGATTGGATCAGACAAGAAATTTTATTAGTGGGGCCATCAAACTTCTTGAAAATTAATGAAATAATTTCAGATCAAGATTGAACTAACAGAAACATTTTTCAGATTAGATCGGGCTAACAAAATAATTTAACAGTCTAAAAATAAGTTTAAGTCAGATCAAATTTGAGTAACACTAAAATAAAATTGTATAAGATATATTGATAAGAAGATATCAACTGTTGTAAGTATTACTTGTGTATTTAATATATGATCAATTGACTTCACAAACTATTGGTTAATAATTCATTTAAATTTAACATTTGGTTAAATGAAATAAGTTTCATTTTATATTGATTTGCATTAGGTCAGACTTATTTATAATTTTGATGGGATTAATTTTCAGTTTTTTTGTATTGGGATCGATTGGATTAGACTTAATTTGAATTTTGATCAGTAAGGAATGAATAGACTTTTTGGCCTATACAGGGCTCTAATACTAATATTACTTATAAAAAGATTTACAAAATGAATAGTAGTAAAATATTATACCTTTGATACTATTTGATTTATGCCACATCTTTTATAGTAGTCAAATAGTTCATGTTGTGGTAGAACAAAATTTCCTAAAAGAGATAACAATGCACAAAGTTTATCTTTGTTTAGCTTTAAATCTTCAATTAAACGAGAAACAATATATTCTTTAGCTTCTAATGTTTGTTGTCTTGTAAGTTTAAGAGAATGAGCAGAAAAAAATCGTGGTGGATCGAATGCTAAATATTCAGCATCATCAGCCATTAAGCCATGAAACTTATATTGGCGACAATATTTTATAAATTCCAAGTGATGATCATCTACTGAGCAGATTACTGGAATTTTTAAATGGTGGAAATATAATTTTACAGCAGTTCTTAAACATATTGGTGGTATCCACCAAACTTTTGGAGGGGGCGTTCCTTTAGCAGCTATATGTCTTAAAATCTAAAAATATACAGATGTTACTATTATTATTTAAATACTTTAAAAATATATGATTATTATCATTTTAAATTACAGCATTAGCTCTATTTCTTGTTTCTTCTTGTTTTAGAACCCATTCATTAAAGCGTTCATTTTCAAAAGAACCATTAAAAAATACAACAACATGAACATTTGATTGACGTAAACTATTGACAAAATTTGATAAAAATGACACCATTCTATTCCATTGTCCTCCACAAACCCAATCTAAAAAATTTAATACACATAATTTAAGAATTTTTTTAAAATTTATATTTAACAAAAAAAAATCAATAAGTACTCAATTAGCACAATTACCAATTGATAGTAATGAAAATCATATTAAATTTTTTTTTTAACTATATAACTAGGTTCCTATGCTGAAAATTACCATGTTTATAACAATTCATACAACCAATTTTTATAAAAAAAATTTGAATGGTAAATAATAGTGCTTGGGATCTGAGGAATTTAAAAATAATATTTTGGGCCACTTCTGAAACGACTAACTTTGAAAAAATTTATCATAAGTATATGTAATATCGGTTTTTGTTGTTCAGGATGTAGTGATACCAGCAATTAAATTCATAATTAATTTAAACTGTTAGATGTTAAGAAAAACAAAAATTTAATTATCATTATATGTAAACAGAATGACTAAAATAAACTTTGTAAATGCTTGAAGTTCTGAGCTTTAATCATTACAATTTTCCATTACAGTTTTCTATGGTACATATTCATATTAATAATTGTAGGTTTAATGGATTGGATAAATATTAGCAATAGAATAATTGTAACACCTACTACTACTTAAAATTTTTAATTTATTATAGAATAAAAATTAATTATTTAAATTTTAAGGCTCATTTTTTTTTTTTTACTTCTTTAACTGCATAAAAACACTTTTAGTATATTACATATTATTAAATAATCAATGTAATGGTATGGGAATGGTACTAAGTATAAAAAAATACATTTTTTATTTTTCTTTGGAAAACAAGGTATATATATATCTTAATAATCTGAAAAAAAAAATGTATGTATAGAATAAAAATTATGTTGAAAACATAAAGACATTTGATGTAAGTCTTTGTGGTTTAGATAAACTATTTTTTCCTTATCTTATAAAATTAAGTTTATGTGAATTAGTACATTTCCCATGTCAGTGCCTAAATTGAAAATGAATGTTAAAATAATCATATTGTATTCATAATAATGAGAATTTAACAATTACAATTTTATTTTACATAATAAGATATAAGCTTAAAAAATAACCAGAATAGTATCCTCCATATAGACGATCTAAACAGCATTCGGCATCCACAAGAAGGCTGAATTGCCCTTTTGATATTGATGGCAAAATTTGAGAAATTTTACGCACAACCATTTTTTTAGCAAGTTGTTGTGAAACAGTATGTCCTAATTGTGTTAGATTAACATTGACACAACTACCTTCTATTTTACCACTATCCAAGTATTCTAAAAGTTTTTCTACGCCCATTTTAAAGAATTATCTAAAAATACAATAATAGCTCAATAATTAATTTTTAAAACATTACATGATAAATATATTTCCAAAAAATGGAAGTACATTAAACATGATCATTATTGGTATTCATAATTCGGTAATGCTATAGTTGGCATAAAATAAATCATCTAGTATAATAGATATGTTCAACGTAATTTGTACATATTTCTTTAGAATAAATAAAATAAACTTCATAACAAATTATAAAACATAGAAAATGACAACAAATATTAAAAATGTCATTTGAAATAAGTTAAATTAATAACTTCAAATTCCATTCATTAATATCTGGACAAACACCACATAAAATATAAAATTACTACTTAGTGCACCTTTCCAGGATGTTTGAATAGTTCAATTCTAACAAGAATAGGACAATATTTACATTGTCTTTATGTTTTATCACAAGATGGCTTCTTTACCGGCAAATATTTTGGTTGATATTTACCTTGAAAGATATAGAAGCAAACCATACAATCAAATACTATAGATATGTGTGTACATCACACAATTCATAAATTTGAATGAACAAAAACTTACAAAGTTAAACCCATTAATAGCAAAGTAACATTCGACAGAAAATGTTCAATAAAGAATTTTTTTTTAGTACAATAACAAATTAGGTGATGAAGCAGTGGGCTTACCGGGGACCTCTTGTCGATTATGTTGATCAGTGTTAACATGCGCAAGCGTCAAACACATTTCAAATTTACCAGGAAAAACATGGTCAAAACTATTCGGTTACTCCTTGTCTATCTTTTTATAAAATATTTTTCATTAGGTAAATAACAACGTAATAAGTGAGGTTGTAGGTTATAGATGGTAATAATACGCCACGGATACAGTTAGTAGATAACTTATCAACTATAACTGTTGATAAGAATAGATAATTTTTTATTTTATATTTTAAATTTATATGAATTTTTCGAAGAATAATGATAGTTTGGTAATCTAATACAATATTATTATACATTAAAAAAATCTTATTAGCCATCAATTCTAATTGTTTCAATATTTGTCTAAATTTGAGTAATTTAATATAAGTCATGGATTGTGCGTTACTGGTTTGTAAAATATTTGATTTTTTATTTAATATATATTTAATAATTAACTTATATTAGAAACGTTTTCTATATGGAAGCTGATAAGAATACTACTACGGCCCTATTAATGACTAATGAGAAGATACTTGAGTAGAAATTAGGTAGATTGATCCATCTCGAATGTGTGCGGGGATAACAGGTAAGAGGAAATGAAGTATAAAGAATAAAGAATAAAGTGTTTGATACAAGCTGGACACCTTGTGCAGTAGCTGTTTTACTAGTTATGTGTAAAGGCCTACCTAATGGCGAAGAGACATCATTAAAATTTTAGACAGGACTTGTGTATAAATGAGAAAGATAGATACAAAGTAAGAATAGATGCATGGAAAGTTGGAACATTAACTATAGAGAATTAGTAGAAGTATTGAAGAGGAGAAAAGGTAATGTTTGTTGTGTGCAGGAAGCTAAGTGGAAGGGAGAGAAGGCAAGGAAAATAGGTAAGGGTTATAAAATAATATACTCAGGTAAGATCAATACAACACATCATAGAATGATCGTAATGAAGTTGTGGCGTAATGGGAAGAGAGTATGCAAAATCAAAATGAATACAGGGCAGAATCCATCAGTAGAAATTATAAGGAGAAAAAGAGTTTTTAAGACAGCAAAAATGAGGAATTTTGTGGAATAGATTTGATAGTTGAGCAAAGACCATTGCAAACGAGATTGTTGATGAGAGTTAATTAAAAATTAATCGAAAGAAGGAATGTAGAGATCAGCTTTTGAAAAAAGGGATTAAGAATAAATAAGAGTAAGACAAAATATATAGAGTACAAGGTTGTACTCAATTGATAAATTTTTTTTGTTTTTCATCAAGCTGAATTCCTCCAAAAATACAGACAATTTTATACATATTATCAAAATATTTTTAGGTGGAGGAATATTATTGTAAGGCTATCAATATTTTTCCCTAACTCCGTTTATTATTTTAAGAAAGAAATGTGCTAACAGTTCAGTCTGTGAACTTAAATTAGTTTTCACATATCGTAAAATTTTATATTTTTATAAAATACGTAAAAAAGTTATTGATTACTGACCAATATTTAAAACAGTAAAATGTTATAACCTTTAAAACTAAAATATATAAAACGGTAATTAAATAAAATAAAAAAATTAGTATATAATCAATTGTTTGTTCTTATTTTATTGATGTAAAGATATGTAGGAGATGGTTATAATGCTGGAAAATCACCAAACTGTAATATAAATTTTAATTTTAGGTAAAGCCACTTTTCATATTTTTGATCAATTTTTTTTGTTTTTCATATATTTTGAATGAAATGACTGGAAAATTGAAAATTTCGCCCTGAGGAGTTATTTTACTTGCCTATGCATAAAGACGACCCAAGTTTCTCCACAATAAAAATAAAATTAATTACTTTGATGATACACTCCCAGCAAACTATACATAGTAAGAAAATAGTAATCTAAATGTTTGAATAGTGTCTATGATAAAGCTGTGTAGGCGTAATCTAGGGGTATAGAGGGATATAGCCCTCCTAATTCTGTTGCAATCCCACATTAAAAAAAAAAAAAGTTGCATGCAAATTACATGTAAATTTATACAGAAATATTTTTATAAGGGGAGAAATTAAGTTAGAGCACCTAACATTTTGTTCAAATTGTGTCTATACATAGTAAGATCAGCTATAATGTATAGTTCAAAGTATTGAGCGGTTGGCAAGAGAATAGAGCAGTAAATTAGTGTAGCAGAAATGAAAATGCTTAGATGGACAAGTGGAGTGACTGAAGAAGATAGGACAAGGAACGAATATATAAGAGTAAGTAAAGGTATACACCGTCAGTCGTGGATAACACGTGAGAAAATAGACTTAGATGGTTTGATTATGTTATGAGGAGAGAGGAATCTGAAACTGTAAGAAGAGTTATGGAAATTGTTGAAGGGAGAAGAGGTAGAGGAAGACATATACTATACTCCCTATTATATGCTCATTCCATTTATAATATGTATTATGTAACAAAAAAAAATTAAAATTCTGAATAAGATAAGTTTTTTTTTAGGAACCAACTCTTTATACAATTAAAGGAATGGCTATTTTAGATAATGATGGAAACCGTATTTTAGCTAAGTATTATGATAACAATATTTTTCCTACTATGAAAGAACAAAAAGAATTTGAGAAAAATTTATTTAATAGAACACACAGAGCAAATGCAGAAATTATTATGTTGGATGGTATAACATGTTTATATAAGAGCAATGTAGATTTATTTTTCTATGTAATGGGAAGTTGTCATGAAAATGAGGTGTGTTCATATTTTGTCTTCAATTTATTTTACTTAGTATAAATTACAGGAACTAACCAACAAAAAAACTATTGAAAAATTAGTTATAATGGAAAGCTTTAAAGCTTGTATCAAATAATTTTTTTATTGTGTTAATTTAATTTAAACTATTTTTAGTAATCATAGAGTTCCAAATGTGATAAGTAATAACCAATATTCTTAAATATAGTTTTATTTTAACATATTAATAATTCCTCATATTAACATATTAATAATTACACTCAAATGTATAAAATATTAAAATAATTGATAAACAAACTTACTTATTTAATATTGAACATCACTATAGAATTGAATTAGTTTATATTAAATATTTATTTCATTAATATTAATTTCTTTTATTTTATTCCATATAATTAAATACAAAAATACATTTAATAATCTATTGATTATTCTTACCACCACCCAGTATCTATTATGCTTAATTAAAATTTACCCTAGTAGTTAGACATTAATTACCATTGTAAATAAATTCATCAAAAAATTAAGATAATTTCTTTGATTACACATCTACTTCAAATTTCTTCTTTCAAGACCGATAAATAAGAAAAGCTTTTCCAACAACTGAGATGAAAAAAGCCACAAAAACTAAATTCTAAAGGAGAAAAAAAAAACATTTGTCCACACTTTGTTTTCGATATAATTTTTTAAGTATAGAGAAGTTAAATGGTTTTTATATATTTACTAAATTTTCCATGGAAAAATGAAAAATGAATTTTTGTTGATATAGAAAGAGTAGTACATAATTAACTTTTTCCATATCATTGCTTCAATTTTTATTAACTATTTGTAATTTAATATTTATTAACAAAAATAATAATCTAAAATCCCTAAAATAATAATCATAAAATAATCAATAAAAAAATAATTTAGGCTAAACATTGAATCAATTAAGTTTTATTGTATTTGTTAGAATATATAAGCTTTTGTACATTAATTTTTATTTAAATTAATAATAAAATGTTGCTTTGTTTTTAAAAATTTATATCTTTTCTTAAACTCATCAGTTACTTTTAATGAGTGTCCTCCAATGTATGTATGATTCCATAAGTCAGATTCTCAGGAAAAATGTAGAAAAACGTGTAGTTCTTGATAATTTAGATGTTGTAATGCTGGCTTTAGATGAAATATGTGATAATGGGTAATATTTTTTCTTAATTTAATTAAAAAAATAATAATAATGATAAATTTTTTTTAAGGATTATTTTGGAAGCCGATTCTGGTGCTGTTGTTCAAAGAGTTGCATTAAGAGCTGATGACATTCCAATAGGGGAGCAAACAGTTGCTCAAGTTAGTAAAAAATATTATTTTACCGATGTATATTTTTGGCAATTATTTATTATTTAAACTAATTATTATTTTAGGTTTTTCAATCAGCAAAAGAACAATTAAAATGGTCTTTGTTAAAATAAAAGTTATTGGGAATTAAATTTATAATTATTTTATTGTATAATAAATTATTTCACTTATTGCTAATTCTATAAAATACAAGAATAATATTGAGAAAACTGTAATCTTGTTTCTAACCAACTAGCAAATTGTAAAAGTTTTATATCATCGAAGTTTGGTGCCATAATTTGAATACCAATTGGTAATTGGTCACTTGATAACTTCACTGGTATAGTTATAGCTGGACATCCTTGATAAAATCAAAATAAATTCTTTAATTATTAAATTACTCAAAATATGTTAGATATAAATATACATTTTTTAGAACAGTTTAAAATTTCATATAAATCATCTACATACAATTCTGTCACTAATAAATAATGAGTGGCATATTCACAATAATACTATTTTAATTGTAAGTATATAAATTAATAGATCAGAAATGAGTATAAATATGCAAAGTTAATAAATCTGAGGTTTTAATCCAAAAATTCTACATTTAATCATAAAAATTTATTTGTATTATTTATTTTTTATGTAATACATATAATGAGAAAAGCGTTACTCTTTCTTTTATAAAAAAACTTTGCTGAACACAACATATGTTGACATCATTAAATGTTAAACTTCTATCATTTAAAGTCTATTTAATTATATGTCTATGATTTAAAATATTTCATTTTATAGAGAAAATAATATATAGTGAATTATGTTAGTCTAAGAACTGAGAATGAAGAAAATACAATATATAAACTTAAAACAGAAATTTGTTATTGAAATAAGGAGTAACTTATTTTAGTGGAGAGTTTATTCATTATGTTAAAAATAGTACAATAAACAAAACGTGAAATTATCTATCTAAAATGAATATTAAATACTCACCACACATATTTGCTGGTTGGGTGCAATAATCTTGAGTAGCACACTGTGTTCTATTGTCTAAAGATTTAAAATCTGATAGTAATGGAGCTGTAGTTAAAGTAGTAGGTGTAATCAAAAAATCAAAGTCTGATCGCCACAGATTATTAAAATCATTAGATATTAATCTTCGAACTTTTAATGCTTGAGAATAATACTTTTCATAATTCCTAAAAAATATATATGAATCATATTATTGAAGATAAAATTACTTTTTTAACTAAATTAAAAGTTCTAAATTACAATTGACCACTGCAAAATTAAAATAAAGTGAATAATAATTATTCAATTTTAACTAAAAACCCTTATCAAAAAAATTCTGATTCACTGAAACCCACTGATTGTAGACATCAATTTATTTGTAATTAATATAAACATAACTCTAAATAGGTAAAAAAAATAATTTTATTAAAATTACTTTTTTAAAAGAAAATAATTTCCACTTAAAATTCTTGATCTTACTACTTCCCCTAAACTTTCAAGGCGATTCTCAGATATCAAAGACTGAAGATTTTCATATTTTTTTGATGATCGGTAACCATAAATAATTCCTGTATATCGTGACATATTACTTGCAACTTCACATGCATTTAAAACTGAATAAGTAGCAATTGAAGCATTGGTGTATGGCATAGAAACCTGAAAGTTGATAAAAATGTATGATAATTAAAAATGACAAACATTTTTAGTGAGAAAAGTTATTTTTTCTCAACACAAAAACTTTACAATATAAATATAAAAAAAATTAGTAAAACATATTAATAAAAATGTGTATCATAATTTTTCTATATATTTACAATTAAGTTCAAACATTATATTTAAAATTGTATTATAATAAAAAATAAACATTTGTTAATTAGAACTCTACATGTAAAGCTTTGCTAGATAAATAAATATATTAATACAGTATTTTAAATAATAGAAAGTTATTCTTCATATAATTAAATTTAGATTTTGAATGTCTAATAAATATATTTTCTTCATTTGAAGAACAGAAATGTCAATCATTCTATATGCCTATATAAATATAACATTTAAATAAGCATTATTAATTTGAAATAATAAAAACAATCTATATAATTTTATTGAAAACTTATTATTATTTATATAAATGCATGAAACACCTACATGAACATTTTTTACGGAGGTGTATGGAGAATAGAAATTACTGTTATGAAAATTAGTACATTATATTAATTTTTATTAATTTACCATAGTATGGTAAAAATATATATTGAAGGGGATAAAAAAAAAGGATGTATATTCTCTTAAAAAAAAACTCTGACAACATCCATAGACACTGGGATAGTATTATAATGAGCATCTTATATAAAATAAGTACTATTTTAGAAACAAGTTACATTAAATTTTATTTTTTTCTGTAATTTATTCAAAATTTGAGATACAAGGTCTAGAAAAATATTACCTTTTTAACACTAGCATTAGAATCATTAATAATATTAGCTACATAATTCCAAGCATTTTTAACTTCATCTGATAGACTATTACAATTATACTCTTCTGGAATACCAATAAGACATTTTTCTATTGAAAATTTCTTATAAAATTTTTTAGTATCCAAACAAACATCTAAACATGTTGAATCAAACACTTTTGAATTTACAATAATACTTAGTATTATAAATACATCTTCAACAGTTTTAGCTATGATTCCAGGACAATCCATGGAGTTAACTAGAGGTATAAGGCCATGACGAGATAACAAACCATAAGTAGGTTTATAGCCAACTACTCCGCAGTAAGAAGCTGGATTTCTAATTGAACCACCAGTATCAGAACCTAATGCACTAAAATATATTAAATATAATAATTGCATATCTTTATAGTTTTTATACAATAAAAATTACACTTCACATATTCCTGAAGCAACTGCAACACAACTTCCACCAGAACTGCCACCAGCAATGTGCCATTTATCAGGTTTAGAATGCCAAATATTTTTTGATGGTCCAAATGCTGAATCTACAGTTCCAGAACTATTAAATTTATTGGTGTTATACCTTCCAAAAAAATAAAAATAAAAAATTAGCTAACCCCATTCCAAATTCGTCCATATTAGTTTTTCCGAGAATTATAGCACCAGCATTTTTTAGAGTTTCAACAATTGCTGCATTGTATGTCGGAACAAAATTTTTTAAAAACATTGATGCACATGTTGTAGTTATATTTTTTGTACAAAAGTTATCCTTAATTGCAATAGGAATACCTTCTAAAAGTCTTGGCTTATCTAGAAATTAAAAAACAATATCATACTAATATTCAGATAAAATAAAAAATTTACAACCCATATTTATCTTTTCTTGACATTGTATTGCATCATTGATTCCTCGTTTATTGACATGAATAAATGCATTATATTCTGATTTGCTATCAATAACTTTTAAAGTTTTAGAATAATGCTCAATAACAGACAAACTTTGTTCCTGTAACCTTTTCTTTAATAAAGGTATCATAATAAAAAAGTTAATAATCAAGGCTTTAAAAATGTAAGATTTAAAATTAAAAAATAAGATCGTTGCTTAATCATTCTAAACACTAAATCTGCATAAATTTTATTCTGACTTTGATATACGTAAAAATCTAAAATATTTAATCCGGAATCTCTTATGTTTGATAAGAATGATTCTAATATAAACATTCCGAAATTCTATCACTTTAATAAATTTAATTATAATAACAATCAACAAATTTCAATGTAACTATGCCCGGAACCCAATTGGGTTTATTTAATCTTACTACCTATGACTTTTGGGTATAAAATATAATGATTAAGTAGAATGCAACCGACTCTCATTTTTATTTTATGAGTTGGTAAGTGACATTTTGTATGTTATTCAACTTTAATATTTATAAGGTTTAATAGTTGGATCATCTAAATTTGTGGTTTGTTTGCTAATCGTTATTATTATTTAACTTAAAAATATAAAAGAGGTAATAAAACATTTTATTACAAGTTAATCTTTTTAGAGCTTTATCTTCTGTTGTGATTAATTAAGCTGAAGTGCTTAATATTGTATATTGCTTATTTTTAATACACTACACAAAAACTAGAATTTAACATTGCAAATTATTTTCTTGTAAGCAAAATAATAAACATAATTTGTTACTTCAATATTTATGTCATTTATTTCAAAGGCACATATAACTAGTAAATTTCTACAATGTATTATTGCATCACCTTATTTTCAACTGCTAAACAATTGAATATTAATTAAATTGTAATACAATAATCATAATTAATGAAGTATTTTTTTATTCAATACTTATTTCTTATCAAAGTTCATAATAAACAATAACAAAATGTTACATAATAAAAGTAAAAATAATTTTTAAAATTAAGAAAAATATAGTTGTTGATTTTGAACAGAAAAAGTCCGGCCATGACTAGAAATACAGGTATATTAGATAGTATTATTACACAATTAAAAACTTTAATAAGGAATTATTAAATTTGATCTTCACCAATAAACTGAAATTTAGTAAAAAAAAATTGTTAACATTTAAATTTTTTCCACCTAGTAACTAATTTTTTGGAGTTTCAGAAATTGTCATTAAAACTTAACAGTTATATTATAAAATATAATACTTAATGTTAAGCTCAATATTCTAAAAATATTAATTACATTTAATATTATATAAATTAAAAAAATACCGATTATAATATAACTGATAAAAAAAAAAACAGAATTTTAAAGCTAAGACATTGGGAATTACATCAGTTTCTTTATGTGTGCTTAGTAATTAAGTTTATTTAAGTGCAATAATAGTAATAATAAAATAAATAATAATAATATAATACATTAGATTTAAATAATAAATTAATAAGAATAAAGACAAAAGGATTGAAGAGAAACATAGTCTAAATAACAAATAACACTTACACTTAATTATTAGAAATATTTATAACATAAAATAAATAATAGAAAATGTACATGCATACTCATAGTTGTTCATATTTATGGCATAGTCACAAAAGCTATCTAAGTTTTCTTTAACAATCAATAAATATGATGATATTATTTATAATAATAAAAATGATGATAATAATTGTTTAATAATCTCTTTTTTGTTATTCATACATTGTTGTTTTTCAATGACCAATATCACCCAGCTAACTTTTTACTGTACATAAAAATAATGATATAATTTTATGAACATATTTTGCATGTCTTATAGACTATTATTTAATAAAGAATTAAAGCGAGAATAGAGATCATTTGACCATCTACTTTTGTATGAAAAGTATATTATTTGATTTAGATACAGCAATTCATCTTAAGTTTATATCAAGAGAGCTTTTAATTTAAACATTGAATTTGTAGTAAAAAAATATTGTTTTATAGAAAACCTAAATTAATATGGAATTCAATGATAAAGGTCTGTAATAAGTTACGGAAATTTTTATTGGTTAAATAAAGTTTAGATGCTGTTAAAAATGCTAAAAGTATTTAAGTTTTGATTTAAAATATTAACATCCACCATATAATATAGCTATAAAATATTTATTTAAACATCCTTAATTTTATATAGAGTGATTTTTTTATATGTGGATTTCCTTTTTTAATAATTTGAAATTTAGATACATTTCTAACATAATTAAATTTTAGTTTTAAATTGAATATTATCAGTAAAAAGTATTTTAAACATGATTCTGTACTATACTTCAAGGTATACATTTATGTAATATTTGACTAAGTTACAATTACGTCAACATAATAAATTATAACTATATAATACCTCATATCACCCTATATATATATACTAATATTTTTTCAAGCATAAAAAATATATTGCTTATATAAAACTATTTAAATGATTTTATTATATAAATTTAACATAAATTAAATTAAAGCCTAGCTTCAACATTAGACTTAAAAAACCCTTTTTCAGTTTTGCACTCCCTTATTGTAACAGTATTTAAATTAACAGTAACATCAGTTATAAATACATTATCAACTACTGGATTACGTGCAAGCCAATATTCAGGCCCGGGATTAGCTAATATTGTTTTATACTGAATTCGATGAGTAGGTGTTTCAGCAATGGATGCTGTATCTAGAACTTGGTGTTGACCACTAGCCCCTTGGGTTACAGCAGTTGCTGCATCTTCTTGAGGCCTAGCTGGTTCATCAGATGTTCTAGAGCTAATAGGCGCAGCTGCAGCTAGAGTATCTCTTGATTTAACACTAGTTGAAGTACTCTGGAGTATTGCAGTGATTGTTAAGTGTTGATTTTCTGGACCTGTAGATTTCTGACTGGGTAAAACAACTGGAGATACATGGTCAGAAGATTTTCTTTTAGGTGTTCTTCCACTATCTTGAGTACTTTGTGACACTATAGTGTTATTAGAATTTTGAATACTTGATGATTGTAATTTAGGCACTTTAGATTCAGATATAGGAGGGCTGGTCGTTATGGTTACACCAACTTTTCCTGATTCTTTAGACAATACTTCAGCTTTACGTTTAACTTTATGTGGTTTAGATAAAGGAGAAGGTGACTTAGATGGTTTAGGGATAGATATGTTGGATGTAGATTTGTTAGTTGAATTTTCTTCTTCTTGAACTACATTTACTTCTTCACTTTGAATTTTTTTATCATCAATTACTTTTTCCACTTTTACATCAACTTTAATAGCTGCATTTAACTTGGGCATTTCTGTTAGTGAGTCTTCATCATCTAAAAGAAATTAAATAATACATGTATTTTTAAAAATGGGCAAGAACTAGTGCATATATTTAATATTTATATGTTTGGGTTGAACAGAGAATTTGTACATATTATGAATTTAATTTTACTTAAATTTTTACCGTGTTTCAGAAATCTTTTGAAATTATATTATTTTAAAGCTTTTTAATTTAATACTAGATAATAAATTTAGTGCATACAAAGGCAAGAAATTTAAATGTATGCTATAATTATATAGCTATTTTGAAATTGGTGTCATTTTATTAGATTTTTATGCTAATTACATAAATTTGAAACATTTTTAAAATTGTCAAAAAAACAATTCTGGATCTACGCATGATTTATGATGGTAATTTTATCATAGAACTAATGTTTGTAATTTTTTAATAGTTTTCACAGAAAAACATAATACATTTGTATTTAAAAAGAAAAAACGAATTAGAAATTTGTGAGAGGTAGTAAAATGCATTTTTGCATTAATCAATTTCAAATTTCAATATTTACTGATCTAAACTATAAATGATCTGAACTTCATTGATTTTATACTAATTCTAAATATAAGATAAATAAATATAAATTTTAAATTTGATATTAAAATTAATTTTAGTAAAAATTTGACTTCTAAAAGTTATAAAATAATAATGTACTTGGTTTTTCTTCCTCAGTTTCATCATCATGCCTTGGTAGTAAAGGAGCACTATTATTTGGCTCTGTTGAAATTTCAGACTCATCTTGGCTTGTATAATCACCATCAGCTATTTCATCTTCATAATCACTTCTTATTGGATCAGCAGTTGGTGTTTCTATATGTGACTAAAGTAACAAATAAATTAGTCAATGTTTTTAAGAAGACATAGCATAAAAAAATTATCTTGTATAATATAAATACTTTACATTTTGTACTTTTCTTTTAGGACCACGTTTATGGTTGGTTTCTGTACGAGTTTGGCTGGAAAATTTTTTTTCATTTTTAATTACTTATTTATTCATTAATTATGTTCTATGACAATTACAGTTAATAAATATTTATGTTAAGTTCATAAAAATCCAAATCTACCATGGTTCACTCATTTTAATATAAATTTTGTAAATAAATTTTAGTGTTATTCTTAATTTAAAAAACTAATATTTCCACATTAAATTATTAATATATATGTATTTTTTTTTAATTCATAAAAGATGCCCCTGCCAAAAGATAAAAAAGAAATCAACTTTTTTGTAAATTTTAAAGGCTAAATTAATAAGATTTCAGTCTTATAAGACTTTAATTAGTTGGACCAAGGTACTTTGAACCCTATCTTATTCAATAAAAAATGTTATAATTATATTATTTATACCTTTGCTCAAAAATATCAATAAGTCTTGTATCAATAATATTTTCTTCAGGTTCCCAGGTATTATGCCTAAAAATAAAAATATTTAATAATTGTACAATTACAAATATATATGAATGATTAATTAAAAAAATTAGTACTACGAATTTTTACATACTTAGGACCCCAACCTTTCCATTTGACATGATATTCAACCCGTCCCTAAAATAAAAAAAAATTTCTTATTACTACATTATGATTAATCGATCATTTTTCATCAACTTAATAATAAAAACCCAGCACAGTGGGGACATGGTATAGTTGGGTCAAGTATAATGATATCTGACAGTGATTAAAATCACTATCATAAAAAACGCTTCGATGCAAATCTGTTGATAGTGTTTAATTTTAAAAAAATGGTGGATTAGTCCAAAAGCTACATGATCTCCTATTTCTTTATTTATAACCTGATTACAAGTTTTCTGATTTATAAGTGTAATATATGAATAAATAAATAAATATATAAATATTTAAATGGAAAGGGTTTTATTTAAAAAAAAAGTATATTGAATGAAAGAGGTATATAAATAGTATTTATTATAAAAAAATTGTATTGATCCATATATTTTTCAAAAAGTTATAGCATTATATAGTTAAAAATATAAAAACAAATTTTTTTACAAAAATCGTATTTTTTTAATTAACTTTGATGTTCATTTTTACCATGAAAACAAAATAAAGTCCAAAATTTTTTACCCCATAATCAAGTCCAAATTTTTTTTTTTCCATAATAAAGTACATTACATTAGGTTTGATTTAAGATATATTAAGTGTCAGATTTTCAACAGTTAATTTTTTGTGAAAAAGTTGTCATTTTGAATCCTTTCTGTGGGCAGGTAAAGGGTTAGATTTATAAAAAAATATATATCAAATGATAGGTAAAGCCATCAAGCAACTAAAAAAAAAAATTGCAAAAATTAGTGATTTTTAAATTTCTAATTTTTTTGAAGATTTCTCCCATTTAGGAGAACAAGGGAAATTTTTTTAATTTTTGCAAGGATAATGTCTTCGACTAGATAAAATTTGTGATCTTTTGACGTATAGATGAAAGAAATCGGTTCGGTGAGAAATGAGAAAAAGTGGTAACAGATACAAAAAAGTAAAATAATTAAAAAAAAAAAAAAAAAGATCATAGTATAATTAATAACTTCTCAGCTTCGCACCGAAGCTAAAATAAGACAATAGAGTATAAAAAAACTGAGTAAGTGTATAAGGCAGGGCAGAAAGATCTTAGTCCTAAAAAAATTTTTTGAATGATTATGTGTTATTATATAAACATATAATTAGAATGAGGAAAACTTACATTTAGTCCCTCCTTATTTAATACCCTAAAACTATAAATATGGTAACAAGGGAGAAAATACACACGAAGGTTAAATATATTAACTTATTCAAATTTTTTATATTATTTCATTATGTAATTTATCAAACTGTAAATTTGTTTTTAGAGCTTCAGTCAAAAGTTAAAATAGAAGCTTATATTTTTTCTTAAAATTAATATTATGTTATAACTAATGAAGAAAAACAATTAGAAATTAAATCTCACGAGGATATTTAATTAAAATCTAATGAATAAAGATATAATTATCTATTGCAAAAATAAATATACTAATATATGTAAATTAAAATTTAGTACATCATTTGAAATGCACAGTTAAAAGGTTAGTATCACGTTTTAGCTTCGATGCGAAGCTGAGAAGGTATTGGTTTTACTATGATGTGTTTTTTTTTTTTTTTTTTTTTTT